GTGGTGTCCTCCTTGGCCATCCTTATCTGGTGAAATCCTGACTCGAGGTCGAGGGTAGAAAAGTATCGGGCACCCCCCAGCATCTCAAGAATCGTTTGAATAGGTGGTAGGGGAAAGTCAGGCGCAATCGTAAGGGCGTTCAGCTCCAGTAATTGACAACCATGCGCATCTTACGCTCGCCCGTCCCATCGCTACGCTTATCCACCATAATCGTAGGTGCGCAGATCGGAGAGTAAGTGGGGCCAATCCACCCATTAGCAGACAGCTTAGCTATCTCCTGCTTGTGAAATAGAAGTTGTTCGGGGGTCATGCGGTAGATCGACGATTTCGTAGGGAGCTTCCCTGGCACGAGAAGGATACGGTGATCGTGGGGGCGCTTCGGTGGCAGCCCTGAAGGAAGTTTATCCGGAAAGACCGCACGGTGAGCACACAACACATCCAGTATCACACGGGGAGTTGCCTGCGCCTCCACGGAGGTTAGCCACGTATGGAATTGCGAGTACTCGAGTTTGGCCGTTGGCCAAGGGGATGTTTCCTCTTCGTCGGGAAACGCGGAAGCGGGTAGAGCCTTAAGACACTGCCGGTGGGGGTTGGAAGGGGAGGTTTCGACCAAGGCACAACATAAAGCCCCTTGCCACTCCTCCACTAGACGCAGAGCCACGTCCGACTCCATCGCGGGGAGCGCTAGTATAACGTAGAGCCCTTGAAGTGGCTGGCGTATGCAGGCTGCGCTCTCCGAAGCCTGCTGTAGCAGAGCAGCGACCACTGCTTTCCGTTTGCCCCTTGAGGGTGGCTTGAACCTCTTAGAGGGTGGGCGTAGAAGTGCCGTAGCTTCCTCCCTAGTCATGTCTGCCACCTGCTTAGCCAGTATGTCGTACGCCTGCTCCGCGGGGGTCCGCTGACGCGTCCCTAGAGTACTGCCGTTCCGTTGTGTGGCATCGGTGGCACGAACAACCGGTAGATCGCACCACTGGCCATTCACATACGTACGTAGCTTATCAGACTGGAAATACCACGCTACCCTATGCTCAGTCAGCCAATCAAGCCCCACCACTAGGTCATATGGCACCGGCCCGACTAAGAAGTCGCCAGCTAAACGGGTCGCCCCACACCACATAGTGAGTCCCTTCACCACGCGATCTATCCTCAACTGCGCACCGTTAGCTACGGTGAACACGTGTTCCTCAGGCAGCTTCCGTCCTCTCAGCTGTAGGCGTTCTACCGCCCCTGGGCTAATGAAGCTCCTTGAGGCGCCGGTATCTAGAAGAGCTTCGCACTGGTTGCCAGCCACTTCGACTCTTAGTACGGCGCTCATACCCACACTACACAGAGTCCCCTTGGGCGTGGCGTCTTCCTGCACCCTCTGCTCGCGCCACCATTGTAGTTCTTTAGTGCTCGTGTCCTGCGGACGGTCCCCTTCAGTTGTGGCGTCGTTCAGCTCGCCGCTGTGGTCCAGTCTACGCCTAGACCCTTCCTTGATTTGCAACGTAGTCTCGGCGTGGGACTGGTCTGCCGGGGGTTGCTGAGTCTCCCCCACGTCCGGACCCTCGGCGCGTTCCCGCTTTTCCCCAATACGCAACCTCTTCCCCCAATCTGGGGAGACTGGAATGGAGTTAGGCCCTGTCGCTACCGCGCACATCGCACCTTTACCACTCCGAGTCCGCCTAGCCCGCTCGTCTCCCTTAACGGCTAGGCTCGTCCGTTTAAATGCCCCGATTGGTCGACGTTGGGCCGCTTCGGCTGCTGTCTGGGCGGCCGGACGGGCTCTGCTCTGGGTCAAGCCGACGTAGGACAGTCTCTAGCGTAGTGATCCCGGCCCCCACACCTGGAGCACGTTTCCCCGATCCGTCGCGTCGCTCCGTTGCGGAGCGGACAGTCCCTGCTCACATGTCCCCTTCCGCTGCACGCGTAACAGCGTGAGTCCGTAGTATCATTCCGTCTGTTGTCCCTGTTCTCTCGTTCGCGTAGTAGGCCCGGCTCTCGCCCGCCTTTAGCCCATCTGCGCTTGGCATCCTCTAAGTCTCGCTGGAATCGGAGGCGGTCTTCGCACAAATCCTTCCACGGGGCCACCGTGGTAGCCAGTGCTGCGGCGGCTTCCTGCCAGTCTGCGAATTTCCTTGTTCCCCCTTGAGTTATCTCTCGGAATATTTCCTCCGGCAGGTTGGCCAAGTAGTAACCCACCAACAGGTCTGGAGCCACCGACACCCCTTCGGCCACGATGGCCTCGAAGCGCGCAGAGTATGCGTGGTGGTCGCCCCTCCATACATTCTCCGCTATCATGACTTTCATCCATTCCTTAGTTATACCACAGAAGCGCGCGCAGAATCGCTGTCTCAGTTGCTCCCAATCAGTCAGGGGTTCTCCAGTGCGACGCAGATACAACCAGTAACCCAAGGCGTCTCCCTTCAGATATCTTTTGAGTTCTTCTCCCCACTGCCGTTCTTCCAGCCCTCGTTCGATGAAATCTAACTCTGCAAGGTCGAGGAAATTCCTCATGTTCTTGCCGTCCTCGTATCCGATAAACCTCTGGGACGCTTGCACTATTCCCCGCGCCATCTGAAAGGCAAGTTCCCGCAAGAACTCGGTCAGACTCGGATCCGCCCAAGCTGGATTCATTTCGGGTACCTTGCGCCCTCCAACGTCGCGGTCCCAGACTCTCGGTGCCGGTCGTGCCACCCCTGCGGTGGACTGGTCGATGCAGCGACCGGGTTCTGTTCGCAGCGATTCAGTGGGGTGCCCCGCGGGTTCTTCGCTTGACACGACTATATTCGGCATTCCTGCGTTCGGTTCAGGTGGAGGCCGTACCACTTTTCCGTTGCGTAGGACCATGTCCCTCCCCGTTCCCACTTAGGTGAGGGGATCCCTTCGGGCTTTACGGGAGAAGGTCTTCCCACTTGAGCTAGCTCGAAATTCTGCCCAGATTGTTTGAAAAATTTCCCGGAACAGCCCCCAAATGTAGTGAACAGGTGTAGAGAACAGGTGTCTACACTGTTACTACGTATGTCCCTGGGCAAGTCCGACTAGGGTGCCCGCTCTGCACTGACTGTCAAAGGTACATGATTCTCGCCAACAACTACTAAATACCCTGATTAACCACGTACAATTGAGTTCATATTATTATAAGGTACGAAAACCCGGAATAATAGAACTGAGTATCGACGCTCGCTGAGGGTCAGTGCCTGAGTCGCGGCACCAACCTCGCGTCCAGCCCCATACCCGGTGCTGGCTAGCGAGCACATTGTTCCCTTTTATGATTTTCCACTAACCAACGGTGCCATATGCCTTAATATATTCAATATTATTCATGCTTTTCGCGTTAGTAAGCCTCGAGGGGTGGCGACGAAGGTCAATTGTAGTGCCAGGCACTACAGGTGGTACCGTCATTTATGCAAGATCTTGGAGTGTGTTAGTGAAATGGGTGACATTAAACTGGTGAAGCAATAAAGTTCGGGGAAAATTTCATCAATCAGCGAGAGGCGAGACGGTGCAGCGTTTGCCGCTGCCAGTTCGCTAATGTGACCTGCTGTGAGTGCGCGCCCAGTGACCTGCTCCAAGGCTGTCAACAAGAGCTTGGCTGTCGTGTGGGGCGTTATCCGATAGGAATACAAAGCTTCATCTTCGCAATACATTTGAAAAAGGACGTCAAAGATGGCATACCTGAGAGCTGATTAAATTGAGGGCAGGAACCTCATTAGAGCATTGAGCCCTGACGGAGACTAGATCTTCCCCTCCAGTTATGTGTCTCATGGTGTCGCATCTGCGCTCCCTATCTGTCCTACTTCCGACAAAGTATGCTTTTTCCGCCCTGTTGCTGGCCTTTACGACGCGTTTCAACATATTTGGCGTACGCCGCATCTCTCCGCAAATTGTTCGCGGGGCAGCCAACAATTGCGACGCAGAGATTGCCGCCTGGATGCGAGAAGCGGGACAGGGAAGGGGGATCAATATCGGCTATATAGAATTTGAATTCTGAACTGCTGAGATGAAGGCGAAGGCATCCTGCTGGAAAGGAGACGCCGGAATTCCCTTGGTTTTCCGATATTCGCCTACCTCCACAGATGGACTTCCCAGTGGCATGCGGAAGCGGAATAGTAGAGTCTTCTCCGCGGAGACATAGCAGATAACGCTTTCTTTGGAAAATAGTGTCCCGATTCGGAAATCCCCAGCCAACTCGGTGAAAGCATACAGCGCAACTGGGACGAGTCCAAGACACTTTGAACAGCATTGAAGCGCGTCCTGGCAGTTATTCCCTCATATCCACGTTCAAATATAAACATAATCACCGCTGATGGAGCTCCACAATCTGGAACTCTGCTCTCTTGCTTTCTCATTGGAGTTCGGTCTCAACGCGGCGACAACGCTGCAAGGGTGGTTCCTGATTGCCATATAGCCTCTTAAGCTCGCTGACCTCTACAACTTTTACGTCGTAAATTTCCAATATCTTTTGAAATTACAGCAAAACGTGTGGCTGTCAAGCTTAAGCAAAGCTTTAGATTTACGGGAGTGCTCTACCAAGCAGCCATCACGGAATAGAATTTCAGTAGCAAATAGAAGAAGGTTTGGTGCCATTATTGGCGTCTAACTCAACTAGATGCAGACTTTTCCAGACCACCTATCTGTCCAATTGGCATTTGGACGCGTCACAGTGCCACCATGCCAAGCGCGAGGATGAAAACGCCCACAAGTTTTGGGACTGCGACAGATGCAGAACCTGTGAGGGAGGAGACAATCCCGTCCCACTGCTGTTGCCTGAGTGCAGCAAATGACGACAGATTCACAGAGTTCAGTTAACTCCACGAAAACAACAGCGTTGTGCGCCGTTCTGAGGTGAAGGCAACTGCTTCCTCTTACGTGAATGGAGCTGAATTTTCATCTGCAAAAGCAGCAGGCATTGTCTTGCAAATCAATGCATAGCCATATTCCTGGGTCTCCTCCGCGTCGGATTCTATAAGCTGATTTGCGGTAGAGCTTGTTGTTTTAGTGCACGTCACAACCCGGCAATCTGCAGTGGCACTGGATGAGGGGTTGTAGAGAGCCACAAAGGAAACGTTGTCTTGTTTGTCGTACAGGCCGTTTGCTTCGCTTTTTGACGGTGGAAGTCCAGTGAAGCTTTTGAATGCTGCCTTCCAGTAGTCGACAGTTTCGTTGCAGCTGGGCTGCGCACCAGTGAGAGATTTGAATGCATACGTTCCATCCTTGAACGGATTTTCCGCTTCAGCGACCACTTGGTAGTTTGCTTCTTCCGTCTGAAAGAGAGACGCAGGCGAGAGGAATTCTCCCGGCGTGGATAACCACATTCGTGCGTGGCACTCTCAATATCTGGTATAGGACTTACGGCTGTCAAATGTTCACAGACTTTCCTCCATTTGCTGTTTTCCGCTAATTCATTGCTATCTGGGGCAGTCAATTGAGTTTCTTCGGTAGCCTGTGTGAAGTGGGACAACCTGGCTGCCTCTCGGACTGTGTTGATCTCGTTAAGACACTGTACGCTGGCAGCTGCAATGATTAAACCAACACAGATTTCATTGGATTACTACGTAGTTCAAATGTATTGATTATGAGGAAGGAACTGATGTGGGACAACGTCTCCACGCTCAGTTCTGCATGGTCGCTGGGGTTGTGTGCATGCAAATGAATACTCACGAACTGGGGTTTGCGTGAAATTAGGGTAGAAAAATGAAAATCCTCTCACTTACCAAGCTTTGCGGTATATTTGACAGTTGTTTGTGAGGGCTGCTCCCGTTCGCGCAGTGCTGCTGCACACACTATTAGTAGCAGTGTGTTGAGGAGAGCAGTGATCCTGAAGAGCATCTCGGAGAGCGAGTTTTAAAGAATTTTAGCTCGAAACAAAAAATGGAAGAGTCGGGCATTTATCTGTAAGCAGAATGCAGGGAGGTTCTTTGGAGCAGAGGGTAGTACGACTTTTAGTTGCGTGAAAGGCTGGAGTGAAAGTGTGAAACGATGGAAGTGAGCACGCAGACTCACGGTCACGGGCGACATCCGAGGCAGCAGATCTCGACTAAGTGATGCATGCTCATGAACTGCCTTAAAAGGAACATGCAACCTAGAATACCAGAAATACTATTAGTGAAGGAAGTAAGTAAAATAAAAGGTATAAGTCGATGCTGGTTGTCAATGAAGATTTGCAAGTGCTGTGTGCAATAGATCCAATAGTCGCTTCCTCCGCGCTGCTCTCCTTCCACTACCGAATTATGTGATTCCTACCAATAAGACACACTAACGCACTGCTTATGATATCTAAAGTAAGATTAGTCGCAGATTTTGTCGGCGGGTGTTGCATTTATATTTGGAAAACATCCTTAGTCGAACGCCGATCGAGTGGGCACACCAAGACATTGGTCAGAGAAGAGCTTGAAGTGAGTAGTGCTGGAAAAAATAGAGCAAAAATATTTTAGCAGCCCAACAGTGTCTGAGTGTTTACATGATGAGTAGGACGAGTCTCGCTTACGCTCCTCTTTTCTCCCGGTTTCATGCTATCTCTCGATTCTGATGTCACAAGGATGTGAGCGCTGCATTCCTAAAATCCATCACCTGCTGAAGTCTTCACGACCAACAAAAACGCACACGATTTGCGAGGAACCCATCCAGCTCCTGCTTCATTTTGAAAATGATGCAAGCAATGTAGCTGTCAGAAGGTGACTGGCAGAGAAGTGCAACAGCTAACTTGGCCAATCTACATAATGCAGGCCCTTCAGAGTGCACCTTTGCGCGTCGTATGCACTTCAAAGCCTTTTAAAAGCCAAATGGATCCGCTTCACAGATGTATTAATCCGGAAATCTCACAAAGGCGCCCTCTGTCGTCTGACTGTCCTGCACCCCTCGCACTTGCTCGCATTTCAGCAATACGCCAGTAGCTGCGACACTGCCAGGTATCACCTGTGGTGGATAAGGCCTTGCATCTGCATACTGTTCTCCGCGTTTTTGGTGGATGTTGGAAGCTTGTAGCGCTCGCTCTCTGTGAACGTAGCTACCAACAAACCTGTCTTGTGGTAGTGCGCGGGGTGGTACTGCGCCTACTATCTCTGTCTTGACTCCACAGAGTAGATCTACTACCTTTGCGGAAACCGTCCTACCTAGGAATTTTCATTGAGGACAATTCGAGTCATCCGTTACCAAAGTAGATCTGCCCTCCAGCCTCACACGCTTGCACTTCGAGGTCCCGAGACTAGTTTCTCTGTGGGTCGGGGAGGTGCGTCCGCACTCCGGATGGCGCCTCGATCGGTCTAGAGAATCGGCCCGCTGCGGAGTGCCGGGGGTACGCTTCAGCCAGGACGAAGTGCCCAGTCCCATATTGCTAGCCTTCAGAGGCCCACGGGAATCCATTGTAGTGGGCGTTACTACGACCGCCCAGCTGCCCGGCTTGAGGTTGCCCTCGCCAGCTTAATCCCTCCTGCACATCCCACTGCTGCATGCAATGGACGTTCGACTGAGCTGTATACGCTATCTCCACTTACGCACAGGTGGAGCCTGGTCTGAGTCAGTGTTCCCTAGTATTAGTGTTACTTCATTGGCGTTATTAGCACTCTTACTCTCTAATGCCTATTATTACCTAACGTGCATAGCTAAGAGCGGTGCTATCGACAATGTAGTGGACATGCAGTGGACGCAGAGGTGCACATGCCGCCACATTGGCACTGCCGCGTTCCCCTTTGTGCGCTACGGAAGAGTGTTAAGGGAGATGGGGGTGGTGGGCGGTAGAGGACACGGCTGAGCACGTGCTTTGCGATGCTGGCGGCGTCGCCAGGCGCGTACCAAGGCGGGGCATCTGACAAGGAACTGGGCTGATTCCCATGCAGCGCAGTCTTCGGGGGCACCACTCCACTTGAAGAGGTAGTAGGTGTCATCGCCAGAGCCTCTCTGATCAAGGATATAGTTTACAAGGTACTGGTCGGTCAGGTTGCCAGCAACGTTACGCGTACGGGGCCACCCCACGGTCGCTTCCTGGGGAACCAGATCAGGGTCGTGGGGACGGTGACGAACGTGTTGTGGCACATGGAAGACGTTGTGACACTCATAGGTAGGCGGTAAGGCAAGGCGGTAGGCGACGGCTCCTATGCGTCCCGTTATATCAAAGGGGCTCTGGTAGCGAGGTCTCCCAGAGCGTATTCCACTGCACGCCGTTTGGAATCCGCGCAGGACTTCTGCTGCCACTTAGCACGCACGATGTGGCCCTGGGCTCTGTCGCATAACTGGTGGAAAAGCTTTGTTATTGGGGGTGTGAGAGTTGGGGAGAAAGCGTCACCAGTGTTCAGGTCCGCCGCGGTGGAGGGTTTTTCCTTAATCATGATCTCGAAGGGTGAGAGCTTCGTGGATGAATGACTTCTAGTATTATAGGCAAGTTCGGGGGCCGGGTTGAGCCGCTCCCAGTCAATTTCTTCGGACTGAATGTATGTCCGCAGCACCTGCCCCAGGCTGCGGTTGACTCACCCTCTCTGGCCATCTGTCTGCGGTTCGTAAGATGTCATCTCCCTCTTGATGCCGAAACGGTTGCATAGTTGGAGCCAAAGGTCCGACTGAAAACGAGGTTCACGGTCTTGAGTAAGCGCGTCGGGAAATCTTTGGCAGTGGATCAGGGCGGAGACAGCAAAGGGCGCCCAGTAAATGGCATTACTAAAGAGAATTCAGTTTGCCCTCTCCCAGGCTTGTACTTGAGAATGCGGCTCACGCTTGCACTTATATGCACTCAAAGACACGGTTGCACCCCGCTGGACAGTCTACGGGAGGAAACACCAAAGCACCATCATGCCACTCGTCATAGTCTCGTGACGCACGGACTTCGAGGCTGCAACTCTTGATGAGCGCGCGAGGAGGCGGTGGCATGTTCCACCGACCCTGGATGCGCGGCATTCGCCAGTAGACTAAGGGAATCTAATGCAGACAAAGAACATCATGGGTCTGACGGCATTGCTGACTCGGAGATATCGACTATTTCCATACGGAATTATTTATCGTTGGTCAAGTTCCACATCTGTACCTTCTCATTGCACTACGTCTCCTCAACTTTTGTTGGCTCTGAAGGAGACGCCAACACTATAGGTGCACGTACTAATTGCCTTGCATCTTTTTAATTTCGCTGCCTCTAAAAGTAAAGAAGCAGTATGTGGTGGCTGACATTGAACATAGAGTTGGATCTATCGGACCCTTCAAAAAATGGACAAAAGAATAGAATTTCAAAAGAAAACCGGAGAAGGCGATGCCGTGATTGGCACTAAGATTCGTTGTCATTCGTACGACTCAATTAGACACAGGAACCATTGGATTATGATCAAGGGTTCAACTGCAATACCAACTTGTCACACAACTGTGACGCCAACCGCGATGAGGGCAACACCAACAAGGCTTGGGACTGGGAACGTTGCAGAACCTGTGAGGGAGGAGACGATCGCGTCCCATTGTTGTTGCCTGAGTGCAACAAGGGATGACGACATCATAGCATTCAGTTAAATGCACAGCAACGAAAGCGACACAAGCAGATCTGAAATGAGGGAAATAGTTCTCTCCTACGTGAAAGGGGCGGTATTTTCATCTGCAAACGCCGCTGGCATCGTCTTGCAAATCAACGCATAGCCACTTTGTGAGCTTTGTACAACTCGAGTGTCTTCAGCGTCATCTCCAGCGTCTGTTGTTGTTTTAGTGCACACCACAAACTTGCAGTCTGCGGTGGCATTGGATGAGGGATTGTACAAGGCCACGAATGAAGCGTTGTCTTGTTTGTCGTACAGGCCGTTGGCTTGACTTTTTGACGGCGGAAGTCCAGTGAAGTTTTTGAATGATGCCTTCCAGTAGTCAACTGTGTCGTTGCAGCTGAACTGCGCACCAGTGAGAGATTTGAATGCATATGTTCCATCCTTGAACGGATTATCCGCTTTGGTGGCCGCTTGGTAGTTCGCTTCTTGTGTCTGAAAGAGAGAAGCAAGTGAAAGGAATTCTCATGCCACAGATAGCCATATTCGTGCGTGGAGCTCTCAATACTTGGTATGCAACTTACGGGTATTAAGTGTTCACAAAGTTTTCGCCATTCGCTTCCTTGTTGGAGCTCTTGTGCACCCGGCGAAGGCAGTGTATTCGTGTCTGTGGCCTCTGTGAAGTTGGGCAACCCGGCCGCCCCTCGGGCAGTGTTGATCTGGTCAAGGCATTGGACGCTGTCACCTGCAATAAGCACAGCAACACAGTTCCTAGGGTCTTAGCATGTCATCCCAATCATCAGGAAGAAACAGACGCGAGACCATAAGTGGGACCTTAGATCTGCACAGTGGCTGGATTCGTGCCAAAGTAATTAAACAGGAAATTGATGGCCAGTCTCTTACCAAGACTTGCGGTATATTTGACAGTGACAGTTCCACCCTGTTGAAAGCTGCCCGATATTGAGTTGCTAAGCACAAGCAGTGAAGCGCTGACGAGTGCATTGATCCTTGGGAGCATCTTGACCGTGAAGATCTTGAAGAGTTTCAGCTAGGAGCAACCTGAAAAGAAAATGAAGAGGAGAACTTTGGCTGCAAAGAAAATGCACTGGCAAATGCTGCCAGCACTTGGCAGTGTGATTTCTCGTCTGAAATGTTGGTGTGAAGCGGACAGGTGAGCGACGATGTCTTGGAAAATCTAAAGCGGCAGATCTGTGCCAGCTGAGTTCTACATTTGCGCACGGCTATTCATCGGTGATGATGAATGCACAATGGGCCGTGAAAAACCGCACACGACTCTAGCTTTAATTCAAGACAACTTGTGGGCCAATTCCACAGCGTGCTAGCTGAGCTCTAGATCTGCGCACTTGCTCGCCAAGAGTCGTGAGAAAAACATGAACTTACAAAGTCAAGTAAAAGTATGAATAAGGTAAACAATGACATGAATGCCCAATCGCTGAGGAACCATTGTGGTCTTGCCGCACACCACTGCGAACAATCCGCAATGGTTCACCACGCCTCCTTCCTTCCACTACTGAAATCAATGATTTCTATGAGTCGGCTTCCCTTAGACAAGTTATGTAAAATCAAAACTAATGTCATGTGTGGTTTGGCACGGCTCACGGTGCCTTCTCGATCGCGGAGTGTCCCTCGTAGTCAAATCTACAGCTCGGCTAGTAGGATAAGGGATCGACCCACAAGGACCCTAAAATATAAAATCCCCAGCAGAATTCCATCAAAAAGCAGAACCATGTAGGATTGGTGCATGATTTGGCAAAACGTAGGACATATCACTGCTAGCTGCGCCTTCAGGCTCGCTGCCGACACTTCTATGTTCCAATAGCACACATCCGTGAGCCCTGCAGTTGTACAAACCATGTCCTCAGCATATCCGAGCAGGAAACATGGAACACACGGTGCATGCTGGAAAGTACACAGGCGGTGTGCACCGACGGAGTTGGCTTGAAGGGGGATGCAGCACACAGCTGGGCAACGAGATAAACTCTTCAGCATGCACACGTCGTAGGCATTCCGAAACCAAAATAAACTAAAGTTGCCCTTGCATAGGTGCCTTTAGCAAATAGCTAGACAATCAAGCGACTTTTCCTGACTTTGCTCGCCTTTCGAATGGGGTCACTTGCTATGAGGTTGTCAGAGTTGAAGACACTACGTGTATTGGACTCATTCTTCAGCTGTACACCCTCTTCTGAGTTGCTAGAGGACGCTGCAAGCCAGTGGATACCGCAGTTTGCTGAGGCAAAACGCTATAAAAGAGCGTCGCGGATGGAGTCACCTGGCTCATCCTTCGAAAAAAGCGCGAGAGTTTTGCAGGTAGGCTTGTATATAAAACGGAAGTCCAGTCATACATCTCGATGCAAACAGAACTTGGTGCAGGCCCTGCCGTGCGGCCAATAGTTTGAAAGGTTACAGGGTCATCATGCCAAGTGCTACAGTAACGAAAATAATGAGCTGTGGGCCTGCGGTTGTTGTTGAACCCGTGAGAGAGGAGGTAATCATATTCCACTGATCCTGCCTGCGCAAGATCCAACAGTAGATCCACAGTGTCCGGTGCAATCAACAATCATCATGGGTCTGGGGAGAACAACATTCTAATTAAGGGATTGAATATTTGCTTACGTAAATGGTGCAGTCTCTGCATTTTGAAAAGCAGTTGGCATTGTCTTGCAAAGTAGCGCATAACCCTTCTCTGGAGTCGGTACTGAACTGTCGCTGAGAGTTGATGGAGCAGCGCTTGTCGTCTTCGTGCAAGTGGCGACTTGACAGTCTGCTGTGGCAGTGGATTGAGGGTTATAGAGGGCTACGAAGGAAACGTTGTCTTGATTGTCGTACAGGCCTGCAGCTTGATTCTGTGAGGGTGGGAGCCCCGTGAAGTTTTTGAATGCTGCTTTCCAGGAGTCGACTATACTCTTGCAGTCCGGTTGCTCGGATGTTAGGGATTTGAAAGCGTAAGTCCCATCCTTGAACGGACTATCTGCGTGTGATTCAACTTGATCACTTGCTTCCTTTGTCTGAGAGAGGGAAGCAAAGGGGAGAAATTGCGCTGCCATGGATAATCAAGATGATTCCTGTGGGACTTGAAAGCTGCCTCGCGACTTACTGGTACCAGGTGTTTACACAATTTCAGCCATTCGCTATCTTCTGTTAGCGGATCGCTTCCGGGGGAAGGCAATTTGTTTGTGTTTATAGCCTCTGCAAAATCGGACAACCCTGCTGCCTCTCGGGCAGCATTGATCTCGTTGAGGCACTGGGTACTGTTGCCTGCAGCGCATATATCCACGAAACATTCAGAGTTTCAGTGCGCAACTTAAATCTTTTGATCTCCAGTGAGAAACACAAGGGGGACTGTGCGTACAAGTTTTGTTGTGCACGCCGATTGAAAATGGCCCATGCAATTCAAATCCAAAATCAGGTCTCAGTAGGAATTTAGGGGAAAATTGGAACTTTTTCCTACCAAGGCTTGCAGTGTAATTCACAGTAGTCCCGCCAGACTGTTGCGACCCTCCTGGTGTTGAGGCGCTAAGCACCAGCAGCGAAGTGCTGACAAGAGCAGTGATCCTTGGGAGCATCTCGGATGAATGCCCTTGGAAAGCGTCAACTAGGAACAAGTAGGAAGGAAATAAAGAAAGCAACCTGGTTGCACATAGAATGCACTAAAGACTTGTTCGAGCGCCATAGAATAATTTCTGCCTGTGTGAAGTACTGGTGTGAGATGATCAGGAAAGCAGTCACAGACGGATGGTCGTGCCAGATCTGAAGCGAAACGGCAGACCCCTGCTGTTTCAGACGTGCCCACCAAGCGCCTTGAGACGAACACAACACACGGAAAATTAATAAAAGCATGAGAGAGAAAAAACGGTTGAAAGAAATGTTGCTCATTCACGAAACTTTGCAATTGGGTTTTGCGCCAGGTTCACTATCAACGGCCGCTCCATGGTCCTCCACGCCTCCTTACCTGCACTACTGAAACCCACAATTCCTATGAGTCGGCATCCTTTATACAAGCTATGCGAAATCAGAACTACAGTCATGTGCAGCTTATCAGAGCGCGCGCTGCATTCTTGATCGCTGTGCAATCGTGGTGTGCGGCGAAGTGGCGGAGGAACGGCTTGAAAGCGCGGCACGATTTCAGGTGAAATGAAGCTGAAATATCATGCTTATATAAATCTGATACAGGGCTAGACAAGTTACAACAAAAATCGAAGCTAGGCAAGCTTTTAATCCAGCTTTCAAGCTGTCTGATAATTTTGGTCTTGCAACCTCGACACAGCAGCAGTCCCCCATAGCATCTGCGGCTCACCTCCTCAAGACTGCGAAGAGTGTCTCATATATTATGAAGGGAACAAAAAACTAGATCGGCAACCCCATGAGTACTCCGGTTCCTCAGACCATCTGCTGCCTCACGACAGCGTCGAGTGTCTCCTAAATTCAGAACGACAAAAAAGCTAGAGCGGCAGCCTCTTAAGGGCGTAAGCAACCTGCATTTTAGCGGATGGCCCGTCAAGTGACACGGCAATCAACTGGGCAGCAAGCCAACCCTCCAGAACGAACGCAAGAAGACACTCCAGAACGAGGCTGCGTGTATTGTACGCACCCTAAAGTCTGTTGAAGCCAAAAGAGTTGGCTTCCCATGCGCCTTTTTGCAAAATGCCCCACAATGGCACTGCCTACTAATTAGCCGGGTATTTCTGCCGCTGTATGCAATCCCCAACGTCACCTGTAGTGTTGCGCTGCGACACGCAGCCCGAACCATCACGCATTGTTTTTATGAGTTACGCAGCAAATATCTGAGACGATTTCCCGACATTTAGGGCGTACTTCCAGCAAAGCAATGCGAGACCTGCATGGTGGCAGTTCTCAGTGGCGTGTTAAGGCTTCTCATTTTGTTTTCTTTGAGAAGAGACAAGCAGTTGTTGGACAAGGGGACATTATCCGTAGTGGACGAAATTCAACAGCTTCACCCTCGTTTTTGCGTCGCTCGTGAGCTTTGCAAGCTTGTAGAAATCGCAGTTGGTCGAAGTGAAGAGTTAGTTACAAACGTGGGTCTGACAAAAGGCGTCCACTGGTTGACGCTTCTGGAAGAGATGGAAGAACACTTTGGAATATCGCGGGCCTGTATGGAAAACGACAGCATGAGCATGCACGTAGATAGGAACAAATACTGATGAACTCCCTGCAGTGCAGCCAGTATTTTGACGCTTCACAGTATCGTCTTACAAAGCACTAACGACAAATTATGGGACTACAGCTGCTATTTAATCTGTGGGCGCGGCCTTGACATTTCCCACTGAAGGATAAAACAGAGATTCCACAGCGACATCTTGAACGCTCTGTCCCTGAAGTACCCAGGAATAATGAATTAAAAAGGCTCAATAAGAAAAAGCAGCAGCTTAGAGAAGCTCTGCGAGAGGACACAACGCTCCGGTGCAGAAGCGTCATTTACGCTTTGTAGTCATCAGTAAGATGGTACTAATGGCTGATGAACTCGCTGCGCTGGTGTGGATCATGAATTGCTTCAGTACGAACTGTGATAAACGCGACACTAGTGGGCCACCAAAACTGGGGAAGATGCCCATTAAGAAGATCCGCAGCTGTGCGCTGGGCGTATGCATTTCTATCCACGAATGAGATCTAGTATTCTGAACGCGTGAAAAGCCCATGCAAATATTGATTAGTTGCAGATTAACTGCAATGTTGGCTTTTACGTTCGCCTACGCCATCTTGAGGTCGCTCGCCGAGATCGTTACTCAGGCGGGTGCATGCCTGTTTAGAGACTAGCGCGGAAAAGCCAAATCATAGGTGGTGTACGGCGTACGGATGCAACACCTAGCACATCTTGACACAGACTGAAAAAACCGCTTTCGCCTGGGTTTCTTTGAAATGCAACCCAAGGGCTTTGGATGCAAACTTGTTTTCTCTGCATACAGCAGGGCGCCTCATATGCGTTACCCCCTGTTGCCACGAGTCAAACAGTTCTACCCAGCGCTTAGTGATAGCTCAAAGATGACTGCTACACCTAGCGGAGTATACCTACAGTTCAGGAAAAGCAGTAGCTCAAAACTGCCTGTTGATGCCTGTGTCGAGCACGATAAGCTTTTAGTGCGCGCCGGCTGCGAAGATGACGGCTTGGAGCCAGTCTTGGATCAGCAACAAATACCAATTACTTAGCGATCGTGAAAATTTTTGGCCGAACCGGCCTGAACATGAAACGCTGCTTCGTGTATTTAGTTAGATGCAAAAAAACGGCATAGATACCAGTGCACACCACGCAGCTTCAAGGGTCACAGGACCAGCATGCTAAAAGCTAAGATAAAAAGCAAACCAAAACCTGGGTTTGCGATTGAAGATGACCCCGTGAGCGAAGATATGATCCTGTCCCACTGATCCTGCCTGCACAGCATTCAACAATGATTGCATACCCACAGTGCAGTTCACACAATGACACGGGCCGCGAATCTTTCGGTGCTGGAACCAAAGGGCCTGAATGGAGCCTACGTGAGTGGAGCAGAGTCGTCGTCTGGAAGAGCAGCAGGTATCGTCTTGCAAAGCAGTGCGTAGCCATGCTTTTCTTCCGCAGGTGGGTCACTGTGCTCCGCTGAATCCCCAGAAGCAGTGGTTTGAGTGGTTTGAGTGCACGTGACGACTCGGCAGTCCACAGTGGCGTCAGTTTGAGCGTTGTACAGGGTTAGAAAAGAAACGTTTTCTCGAACGCTGTACAACGTCCCGCCTTGACTCTTCGACGGCGGAAGTCCAGCGAAGTTTTTGAACGCTGATTCCCAGTATTCGACACTTTCAGTGCATTTGGGGTCCGCAGTGGTCAAGGGCCTAAAAGCGTACGTTCCCTGCTCGAACGTATCTTGCGTAGCTCTTGCCGCCAGATTCTGTGTTTGTGTGGTCTGAAAAAAGAAAAATAATGTTATAATGCAGGGCCTCTTTTTAATGGCCCCCACTCTGGAGGTCCTGTGAACAGCTTACTGGGATCAAATATACACAAAGGTCTTTCCAGGGGCCTTCTTCTAAAGCTCCAGTTGGAGCAATTAATGCATTGCTTCCTGCAGCATCTTTGAATTTGGGTAACCCAGCTGCCTCACGAGCCTCATTGACCTCACTGAGGCACTCGGCATTTTTACCTGCAGCATTTGCATTAAGATACTCTTGATTTTTGCGAAGTTCTAGCTGGTGCTTCTTGGCAAGAAGAATGGCCACGGAATCACTTCCTACATCTTACTAGCAGGAGTTGACTAGGGCCGTGTGCTGTGTGCTATCAAACGCATGTCAGCTTGACCTTCAAACGCGAAGTGAGCCCCGCAGTGAAGGTCTTTCGCTCACTGAGAGATGCAGTGTACTGGATTGTCGCTTGGCCATTTTGTGAGCTGCCCAGAGTTGCGGCGCTCAGCATCAAGAGCGAGGTGCTCAGAATTGTTGGTAAGCTGCGTCGCAGCATCCTTGACCACATGACCTTGAAAAATCACGGCTGCGAAAAAGTTAAAAAACAACCATAGAAAAAAAGACAGTCAGTAAAGGCCGCACAGAAGGAAGTTGTACTGGAAGCCAAGGTTGTGGCTCTTACTGTACTCAATGGCGTCAGTGAATCGTACAGTGAGCAGTAGCCGCTAGGGACTGAGCTGTAACTTCCTGCTTGCACGCCTGCAACACTTGAAATTCAGTCAGAATATAAATTTGAAAATATAAGATATCCGAAGTGTCACGCAGATTGGGTGTAAATGGGAGCACCAAGACGCAGGCCCCTTCCAAACAAAAATTCGTCACCAGCTGAACACTAGATCCAGAGTAACGCGTAAAGTGTGCACCTATTTAAATGCGTTATTCTGCAGGCGGAGCCTACTTTTTTCATTAAATTCCTGTAATGTACGGTATTGTTCTGAGTGGCAAACGTTCATCGAGTGGTTGGCTTAAAGGCGCCAGTTGACGGGAGGTTGTTCGCCATTCGTGTCTTCGCCGCAGCTAAGCGGACAGGAAAAGCTCACTGCATATATGCCCGGCACATCGTGTCTCTCCAAACGAAATTTTAAATCCAAAGACGTTCTGAAGTACTGGATGGAACAAGATACCGTCTCTCGCTCCATGCCACTTTGTTTTGCCCCCTACCAGCGGCAGGGAAAGGTGGGTCGTTGCAGCTGCATACAGTAACTTCATCTAACAGCAAAAAGCAGCATATGAGCTACCACATATGCCTGGTAATCAAGTGGCTGCTCCAGGTTTCCCTCGACAATGTGCGTGCAGCAGGCGAGTGCCGCAGCTGGCACAGGCACTCCATAGTGCGTCCAAGCCAGTTACGGTGCCTCTAGAGAAAGAAACGATGTTGAGACGTTTTTTCAAATTTGATGAATGCACGACTTATCGAAGGACCCGTACAATCGTCCCAACTGATAACTCCGTACCATCTACTTTCTCTATATATGCGTGAGGTTCAGTAGATAATCGACAGATGCTACTGTAGCAGTCATAAATTATCGGCAAAAGGAGCTGAGGCTGAAGATCTACTTTTTGGAGGTTTCGAAAAACTTAATAGCCACCTACGGCTTGGCTCACGCAGGACAGTGCTTCAATTGTATGGCAGAATTAAAAGTTTGTTAAGGGATGGTTTCAAAAAATGCGGAAAGTTTTATTGGCCGACAGGTGCATTATGTCTCACAACAGCATCAAAATCTGAGCACGAAACGATGGAAGTGATGCTTTACAGCCAATAGCGCGGAGCATCATAGCGCCGTAATGCCAAATGCCACAATGCCAAAGATAACCAAGCTTGGAGATGCTATGGAAGTCGAGCCTGTGAGCGATGATGCGATTTTGTCCCACTGCTCCTGTCTGCGGAACGCATTCAACCGCACGCATATTATCCCGTCAAACTAACAGCAATTGAGGCGGTAAGGTTAGCACTAAGCTGCAGGGACCAAAGCGCTACTCACGTGAATGGAGCGGTGGTTTCATTTGCAAAAGCTGTGGGCACCGTTTTGCAAAGCAACGCGGAGCTGCTTTTTGCAGTTGCACTTCCCGCATCAGGTGACTCGCTTGCTGATAGTGAGGCAACACCCGTCGTTTGGCTGCAAGTGACGACCCGGCAATCTGCAGTGGCACTTGCTGAAGGGTTGTACAGGGCGATGAACGAAACGTTGTCTTGACTGTTGTACAGATCTCCAGCGTCTTTTTTTGATGGAGGAAGTCCTGTGAAGTTTTTAAATGCTGCCTTCCAGTAATCAACTGTTTCCTTGCAGCTGTGTTGCTCATCAGTCAACTTCTTGAAAGCATATGTGCCTCCATTAAAGGGATTTGTGGGCGATTGATCAGCAAGTGTTTCAACCTGCGTCTGAGAAGAGAAGGAGAGCCAACGGAGCAGTTTTAGGGCGCGCGACGAGGCTAATGGCAGCAAGTCCAAAGTACACTCAGCAACTTACTGGTATCAAATATGTACAAAGGTTTTTCCACTCGCCGTCTGGAAGCGCTTCTTCTCCAGGATCAGGTAGCTTTTGCTCTGCGCTTTCTGCAGCAGTGAACTTCGCCAATCCGGCTGCCTCCCGAGCATCATTGACTTCTTCAAGGCACTGAGGACTAGTGCCTGCACGGAAAAATCTAGAATGCACCAGCACAGCTATTTCTAATGAAATTTTGCGAACGCTTGGCGCCCGTATCATAATCACCAGCTTTGTGCGCCGGAATCGATATCCACCCATCCATGACACTGCGGCAAAATTTGCACACCAAATTTTTTTGTCCAGAACACTATATTTACTCCGCTCACCAAGAGCTGCTTTATACTCTACGGTGGTCGCTTCAGGCGTCCCGTCGCTTCCACAGCTAAGGGAGAACAAGAGTAGCGAGGTCGTTAGACCGGCGAGCTGACTGGCCAGCCACATCTCTGCAAGGCAAACCACAGGGCGAATGCTTAAAACACAAGCTTACCTGAACAGAGAAAAAATCAAACTGAAGGGAAAAGTTATAGAGATATCGCTTTCTTCTCGCTTCCCAAGGGCGTTGTCGCCTTGGATCGGTTAACTGGAACTCGCTCGGCATTCTCACTTGAGGCGCTTGAACTGGATCTGGGCTGTCGAACAGGTTGCCGCTCAGAAACAATCACCGTTTCAAACTCCAAAAAATTTCATCGTCCATGTATAACGATTTTGGAGATGCTGGGTAGGTGACGGAACCCATGCCACCGACGTCGTCAGTACTACTCCATCACATGAGCAATCCTCTCGCCCCATCTCCTTCAGCACAACCGGCGACATCAACTCAGTGTTACAATTCCGTGCTCACCTCCAGTGAAATCGATTCTTTACACAAATTTTCAAGTTATACATAATTTTAGGTAGGGTTTTACACTCCTTTTGGGTTTTTCACAGCTTGAGGCACCGTCGCAAGGAAAATCATCTGCCGCGAACATTTGTTCGATACGAGGGTCTACTGTGCAAGTTAGCCAACAAGCAGGGGCAAAAAAAGATGACACTACGGATAAAGAAGAGGCCTATGTGAATCTTATCTTGCAGTGGAGTGCTTGATTGCTGAGTAGAACAGTAGTCATTAGGGCCACAAAATGCGATATGCTGTCTCCTTCAGACTCTTGCCAACCTCCTCAAGATATACTGGCCAACTTCACGTGGAATTCAACCATTATTGTTTTTTTTTTCAAAAGCAAAAAAAGACATTTGTGTTTATTTTGCAAAGGAGTAGGAGTCGAAAATTTGCGCTTGGCTGCGCAGTTCAACGTGCTGCTTGGGCGTTCGCACTGTGGAAACATATTTCCAAAACCAAGGCAGAGAAGGTGTCGCTGACACGGAAATATATGCGATACGTCCACCTAAATATGAGTCGGAAACCACCATGCTATGAGCAGCGTTTCCCCTAACTGATTGATGCGTCATAGCGATAGTATGCGAAGCGGGTATCTGGGCATCTCGATCAGAAAAGATACGCCAGCTCTTTTATCTGTAGTCTTATATTGGAACAAACACGGATCAACTCGATCATTCGACTTCCTGAATCTGTTCAATACAGAGGCTTTTGCTTTGCCAGGAAGTCTTTTGTGTGCACGACAGGTGTGTGGACAACGGAAGGCACCAGCAACTCTGGCGCACGTGCAGTTGGTTTCAGGACAGCGCCTTCAGAGGCCATATAAAAAGCACTGCCGGCATGGTACCCACGTGATGGAACGTGCATCATAGCTGGTTGAAAGCGCTGAAAGAGTCCGCTGCATAGTTTCGAGAAGCTCGGCACTGCCCTCATGGAGCCTGGTGCTGCAGTGTTGAACCAATGTTGAAAGATCGCTTAGGCACTTGGGACCTTTAGTTTGAGCGTCGCTGCAAGGCGATAATCGCAGATTCTCACATTTGGGGAATTACATGCATTGCAAACGGCTTTTGCACAACCAGGCGTCCGCCCAACCTGCGCGACAGAACTTCCATGTTGGAGATTTATTCTTTTTGCTTTAATGTATTTGTTGCGTGCTGTTAGGTGATTACGCCTTTCTGGGACATCTAAGAGTCATAAGGAAGTCCTCTGCTGGTTTCACTGCCTCTCGTACAATGCAAGGTGCTTTACGTAAAAGCAAACAGCCATACACGTGAGTGCTCGTGACGCTTTGCGGGGACGTAATACGGCTAAATGCTCCTCTGCTCTCGCTTACATTCAGACACGTTGCACCCGCCGCGAGCTGCTCCATTGATTCTGCGCGCAACAAACACGCTGGAAACGATCCTGGGCTTCTGAGACATCGCCCACTTCAAGGCATTTGGTTTCTTAGGGATGGACGGCGTTTGTCGTGTTTCGAACTTTTTCACGGGCATCAGGAAATAGGTTGCTCGTCCTCGATAGTTCGACTTGTGCTGAGATTTATATTTTGCAAGCTGTGATTTCATTTCTTTTGCAGTGTTTTATTTGTCGCGTGTGCAGTGTGTTGTCATTTGACAAATAATTTTGTAATTGTCTTTAATGGATAAATGGATAAACTACTGGACTGTCGTGAATTGACAATGCGCAGGCACTTGCAATTGAGAAGTGCTCTGTTATGAAGTGCTGCAGAGCAGAACCGACGTTTACTCAAGCCGTGCCCTGACGCGGTTGTGTAAAATCATCTCTGCTAAGCAGGGAGAATTTCCGCTTTACTGCTTCACATCGCATCGAAACAGCTACTGCAGTAATTTCTCCTGTTTCAGCTGTAGGAGATATGCCGTGCAAACATTCAGCTCAGGCTCCATCGTGAGAAGGCCGATGTGAAAGGTAGTATCCACAGTGACTTGGAATGCTGATGCGACTTTGGAGGAACAACAAAAGATTTCCCTGGCACGTGGCAGTAGAATAAAGAGAAAGGCACGAAACGTACGGCTGTAGGGGACCCCATCCGGCGTTCAGTTCGTAAAGCTTCAAAAATAATTTCTATAAGAATTAATCCTGATATAAGAATTAATCCTGAAGTAATATCTTTAATAGAATTATTAGAACAATGTTCTTTTATCTATAATAATTCCTTTTAAAAAATTGAGTTTATAGCTGAATTTTATGATCCCAGGCTGGTTCAAAAAGTCAAATATTAGCCAAAAACTGGCGAGAAGGGAAGTGTGTTCATCCCCTGCAATAAACCACTAAACCAGACAATCACAATTCGCCGTCCATCATTGGGAATCTTTTGAATGCCAGCCACAGTGGTCGTTTCCTTTGCCAGTTCCTTTGAGCCCTTATTACTGTGGGGTTCCGAGGCATGCGGCTAGTCTGCTTGCCTTCCAGCCTGCAGGCAATGAATTAAACATACATTTGTTGCCCGTTTTTTCCTTGGCATGCCAGCAGTAACCTTTAAACCAACCGCTGTTTTTTCAGGCCTTTCTGTGCCAGTGCCACCATAGCTATGGGGAGACAAAATCTTAGTTACAGCCAAGACAGAGGCACGCTGTATGGGGAGTAGCATTTAGTAGTGTTCAGGCCTTTCTGTGCCAGTGCCACCATAGCTATGGCGAGGCAAAACCTTAGCTACAACTAAGACAGAGCCACGCTGCATGGGCAGTAGCATTTAGTAGGTACTCAATGAATCGAAGGCGTTGTCGGCAAGTTGATAAGGTGAAACGTGAAACGTTCGTATAACTCTGCCTTAAAAGATGCTTTGATTTACTTTTTTGATGCGCTGCTTCGCTTCAAATGCTTGTTCACTGATGCGAACTTTTGAAATCAACTTTTCTGCATTCACTTACTCATCCTGTCAGCTTTTGAGCCGAATATCTGTTTTAGCTTAGCCTTGCCCTGTTTGGAAGCCTTGCTTTTAATGTGCAGACACAGTCTCCTACCGTTAGGATGTCTCCAGAGGTACCTCATGGCTTAAAATTGATGCGAGTGCTGCAGCCTCAAATATAGCGAAGTTTCAACTTGTGCTGAAGCTGTCAGCATTCGATTTTGTTGAGACTGCTGTAACTTATCCTGACAATTCCTTTGTATACCCTGTTTCATTCTTGGGCCTGGAGAAATCCATATGCATTTTAGTGCACCAGTCCGTTTATACTGAACTCTCCGTCCGCGCAGAGCTGTGTACGACGAGCCCTTGTGTAGCCTGCTTTTCAGCCAAACGAACTAAATTGTCTACTGAAAAGCAAATTCTTTTTGGTGCCCATAGATTAGGCTGATTTCGTCCATGCATTTTAAAACTAATACTAGGTGGGCAACTTTTGGGGATCATATTTTTTTCAGCTGATCTAGGTTCTGACAATGGCTGAAGAAGGCTGAACTGAATTGGGTTTAGTGTGAAATGTCAATTTCACACTTACCAGCTCGCCTCTTGTTGCATTTGTTGTAACATACGTTCAGCTGTAAAACACGTTCATCCATCTTTCATTACGAGAAGATGTGTTCATGCAATGGGTTGCAGTTCAGGTCTATACAAAACTTTGAAGGCAGTTCATTTATTCTACGTGGGTAGCAGCAAGCCTCTGCGTAACTCGTCGATCTATAATGCTGGTATTAACACGGGCGAGTGCTACAGTTGCTATGAGACCTTAGCTTGAATATGAATGGCCTGTATTTATCAATGCTGCTTGGAGCAGTTTAAAAGCATGATGCATCCTGTAACTTTGCATCTGTGCTTACCCTTTCTCCGGTAGGACGAACAACACAGCTTCACTGTAAAAATTATAACCTTCGTCGCTCTGCTTCGCAGCAGAGCGACGAAGGTTATAATTTTTAACGTGAAAACTGTGCCTAACTTGCTGTGCACGCATTCCTAGGCCACGTTATTCATTTGCTAACATCCAATAAGGCCCCAAAATCGTCTTAGCGTCACAACGCGAGCAAGTAGTTTTGTGAGCTCTACGGCAGGCTCGTCTTGAAGGCTATCGCTAAGGATCATATGTTACACTCCTCAAAAAGAAGCGTGTTACATGAAGAAAGAAGCAAATTTAATGGTGAATACATGCGCCTCACTTTACGCTCAAACAAGCGTAATCTTACTTCGAAAAATTGTGGGCCAAAAGACAGCTTCTGGACACTAGAATAAGAGACTCAAGCACACTCACTAAAATAGCCAAATCACCTTATGTGCGGAGAAAAGGCTCCTGGGCAGGAAGGGCTGCTTCCAGTGAACAGAGGCGCACAAAACCATCTCTCCTCACTGAAAACTCATGGATACATTTACCCATATACAGTGGAATATGTTAAGCAATACTGGCAGCATTCCATTAAACACGTATTTGGAAAGCAAACACTACAGGCTTGTTTTGTGTTGCAAACGCCCGCCTCACCTTTCGCAGTAACTCTTGAAAGGCACGTCTTAAATGACTGTTTTCGATGCCTTTGTATGCATGTCGCCGTCTGGAAGCCCTTTAAAGCATAATTCACGAAGCTTATAGTTTTACATATTTGAAAAGTTAACAAACCTAGTTTGCTCAATTCTTGTTTCCTATTTAATGATAGTCCAGTTCATTTGTATTTGGTTTTGCCACTCCTACGTCTAAGTACACACTTTGCACCTGATAGAAGATGCTCTCATGCCATGACGTACCACCCTAGTACACCTGCATAGATCCTGTAACACGCCTGTTCACGCTCGTAATCAATGGGACGGGAAATGTTGTTAGGAACTCTGCATCCTGAGAAGCAAGCCGATCCCCCTGACTCACCGCCGCTGTTAGCTTCGCTGAGGAGCAAGAAATTGTCGCCTGTGCCGAACGCACTCAGACCACCTCTTCACACAATTAGACTCGTTTGTTGTTCATAAGGAAGAAGATTCAATTCCACTTGACCAAGACAGCAGGAGTCCTTCGCCAGAATGTCTACAGAGCGTCACGGCTCACAGTAGAATAGTTGAGGCATATCATTTATCAAGCGCTGCTATATATTTCGCAGTAGTTCATTCAAACCTTGTGAACCGCCGAATTTTGGGGATCTCAGCACGATCAAAGGGGCTGTTCGGGGAGAAAGAGGTTCCCTGAAAGCGTATCGATTTAGTTAGCATCGTATGAAACTACAGTGCAGTAACCAAAAGGTCATTGTTGAACAGTAAATGCAAGGAAGAGCGCAACTGTCTTCAATTCTCGTTAAGCACTAGTAGGTGCTAAAGAATCCGTTGCATTGATGTGGTCTGAATCTAGGCTACCAGATTATTCTTATCACAAACCTTTTTCGCCTTCTTCCTGCAAATATCCAGAGAAACATGTGCAAACTTTGTGCTAGGTGATGTGACTGCTCCCTAAATGGAGATTCACTGTTGCGCATTGGAACTGCGCATCCCCTTCTCTCTACAGAGAATATCAATTACTTGTCCACCGTTGCATATTTGAATTCGTGGCAAAGTATATCTATTTGTGGGTCTCCACACTACTTGATGCAGCTTCGAGATCGTTTACCAGTTGTGCAGAAATAAGTTGGGGGCGAGCTGCTCCGAGATCAATTGCAACAAACGAAGTCACAGGTTGTCCATGTCAAGTGAATGCAGAGTTGAGATATGCCCAGTGCACCCTGACCTAGAACATACTGTTCATGTCTCGGCGCCTCTAGAATGCATTCTAGATGTTTCAGGTGCAATTTTGTTTCCTCCACATAACTGGACTTTGGAGGACAATTTCTATGTGTGCAACATTCTCGTCATATGCCGCGTATACTTTCTCAGCCTTTAGTGGGATAGCAAAGGTAACTATCGAAGATGGTGGAATAAACCTGGAGTTAAGAAAAAGTGGGTTCTCAAAAGTCGCCGCTGGATGCCCGTGATGAATGGTGTAAGAATTCAGAGCATGCCAACTGCGAATATAAAGAGCTTCCAACGAACCTCAGATCCTCAGCGGATCTTTCAAGAGCCACAAAGACCGTTTCTTCAGGTTGGAACTAATGAGGTGAGCGGCTCAATGAGTGCAATTATATGCAAAAGGCCCAGGCTCTGTTACCAGCGTACGCCTCATAGTTTGCAGGGTCACACTGCTGCCAAACTTAACACTGCGATAAAGAATGCAATGAAACCTGGGGTGGCGATTGAAGCTGACCCTGTAAGGGAGGATGTGATCCTGTCCCATTGATCCTGCCTGCGCAACAATAGCCAACGCTTGCGTAGTCACAATCCGCTCCACGGGAAGCCATAGTTTGTTAACTAGCCACTCTTGAGATGAAGGGATTGCGTTGGTGCTTACGTGAATGGAGCAGAATTTTTGTCTGCAAAGGCAGTGGGCATTGTTTTGCAAATAATTGCGTATCCATGCTCTTCGCTTCCGCTTGGACTCTCGCGAATCAATGAATCTCCAGGAGTAGTGGTTTTAGTGCAAGTGACGACTTGGCAATCTGCAGTGGCATTAGATGATGGGTTGTAAAGGGCTATAAATGAAACGTTGTTATAGCTCTTGTAAAGATCTCCAGCTTGACTCTCTGACGGCGGCAGTCCTGTGAAATTTTTGAAGGCTGCCTTCCAGTAATCAACTGTTTCCTTGCAGTTCGGTTCCGCGGCAGTTAGGGACTTGAAAGCGTATGTTCCTTTCTCAAAGGGATTCGTTCCGCTTGTCGCCTCTACAGGTTCTCCTTGCGTCTGAGGGAAACAAACAGAAAATGTCACAGTGCCAGAGGCGGTTAGTGCCGGTGACTTGAGGAATACTCTGCTCCACTTACTGGTATCAGGTGCTCGCAAACTTTTTTCCACTCAGTGTCGTCTTCTAGGTCTCCTGCAGGAGCACTTAATTTATTGTCGTTTGTGGCCTCCGCGAAATTCTCCAACCCCGCTGCCTCACGGGCAGCGTTGACCTCGCTGAGGCACTTGACACTTCCACCTGCAGTGTTTGCATTGAAAAGCAATTTATATTTGTAATGCATTTGCTAGGGCTAAGTCGAGTTAACTCGCATTCGTACGGTGGAACTCACTTGCACTAGCTGACTGTGAGGGTATTTATCTTCCTTCAGAGGGACGCCAGCCTCAGCTTCCAGTAGAAATGGGCAGCACACTGAGGATTCACTACTTACCGAGAGATGCAGTGTACGTGATTGTTGGTTCACTTTGTTGTGAGGTTCCCAGGTATGAGACAATCAGCAGAAAGAGCGAGGCGCTGAAAACAGATGGTATGCGCAGGGGCAGCATCTTCGAATGTTTGATCCTAGAAAAGCTAGGCTGCAAAAATATTACCTAGAGAAAACTCAAAGGGAAAATCATTTAGCAATGAACGAGCAAAAGAAGGTTGAATATACAGCAAAGAATGTGACCCATGCCGTCACGGCCACTGTGGATCGGTGCAGAGCAGCCCTGAGAGAACGGGCACGACAAGAGTCTGGCTTTGCTCTTGCAGAGCTCTACCAATTGAAATTCAACCAGGATGCAACATAAAAAATATAAATTGTGGGAGCAGTTTTTTTCAGGATAAATGTAGAGCGAGTCTTGAAGGAACACGGTTTGCTTGTAAGTTGTGACCTGAGCACCAGATCTGCGTGATCGGGGAAACGAACAGTTCTGTAGTGCACTAGCCAGAAAGAGAAGTTTGCCCTTTCTATGGCATCATCTTATATATGCCATTTGACTAAAAATCTAACTGCATTTATGTGGGCTATTTCAAGATATCTGTTGGCATCGAAAGGGGCCTTTCACCATCGGTGTTTGGTTGGTGGCTCAGAACTCACTACGGGCCCACCTCGTATACTCCTCTTTTGCCTCGCATATTCCTATAAATTTCAAGTAGCTAGAAGAAAATAATTGTAAAGAGGAAAAAGATGCCAATTTCTACGTTACCGATTCCAGCCCCAACAAGCCCCCCTTTAACCACCCCACCTTCTTTGTCTTCTTTTTTTTCATTTTTATTTTTTGAGTTTTTTATTTGCAAATACTTCTGTCTTCTGTTTAGCGGCAAGCGCCAAACCCTAAACCCTAAACCCTAAACCCTAAACCCTAAACCCTAAACCCTAGAGCGTGGACTCGCTTCTTGCCGTCGAATAACCAACCATAGCGTCTTCCTGCAAACCAAACCCTAAGCGCTAAACCCTAAACCCTAAACCCTAAACCCTAAACCCTAAACCCTAAACCCTAAACCCTAAACCCTAAACCTTAAACCCTACTTCTGGCTGTGCTCTCCCACGCATTTGTTATGAGCTGTTCAATGCCGCCTTCTGCTTCCAGACCCCTAAACCCTAAACCTCACCGTCATTTTTTTCTAGAGGGAGGCGGGGAGGGATTTTCATGAATACCACACAACGCCGTGCCCAACAGCCACGCAATGGCCAAAAAGCTGCAGTATATGCTGCTTTTTACTCCGCAAAGATTTGGAGTGTACTTCATCTTGTTAACTTCAACTGCTCCACTATTTCAGCTGCCAACTTCAAGCATGAGCAGCGACGTCGTTACAACGGCAAGGATGCTCCGAGGCGGCATCTGTTCCAAACATATTACAAAGAAAAAACTTAAATAAAACTTTCACCAGAATAAGAGGCTAGAATCAAAGCGAAAGCGAACACGACGGCGACGTCACCTTGTACCGTTGGTTGTCCAACCGGGCTTCATCTGGATTTCCGAGCACGTTGCCGCCAGGCAGCGCCGGCAGATCAATAACAATATTTGCGTTTAAAGGACTTTGACTTATAAATTGAAAGAACAAGGAGTTCTGGCGGAACTCGGTTGGTGGTAGGCACCCTGCAAACAGGTAGTGGCACGTCACTTCGACAATTCTCCTTGCTGGCTCATATCTTCTCGCAGACCTGCAGCAGAATCGACGCGTTTTCTTGTTTCCTAGTTAACCTTAGCTAAACCACACCTCTATCCCCCTTGTTCACTTCCTACAGGGTTGTGGTGTGGAAATGATGCGCCTCTTGGGGCTTTCACATCGAGAGTCGCGACTGTATGAAAAATCATCTGCCCCAAGTGTTTGCCAAGAGCTTGACCCAGCCCGCACAGCCACAAAGAGGAAAATTGAACGAAGAAGATGTTATGGTGTAGCATATCTCGCATTATAAGGGTTGATTGATCAGTCGAACAATACAATGGGAAAACGAAATTGAATGAAATGCCATCTTCCACAAATGTTTGCCAGCGTCCACCGAAACGAACGACGATAAGCCAAGCCCCCCATATGGGGCCTAGCATGTCAACGCAGCCACTAAAACGCCTTGAGCTAGTTCAAACACACTGCGTCCGCCCAGGCGCTTCTGATAAGTAGTTGAGCGATTTCATTTGCGGTTTGTTTCCTCCCCCTATCTTCGGTTGACACGGCTTCCCATAGGCCTGCCTCTTTACTGTCGAATATCAGTAGGCTTTTCTGATTCTCACTGAGTTGGGAAAAATACTTGTTGAAGCTAGCGGAATCCAACTAGAGTTGAAGAAAATTAATAGCTCAAAATTGTCCTTTGAAGACTATGACGCATGCAGCAAGCATTTATTTCGTGGTGACTACGAGAACAAACAGCTTCCAACCAGCCTCAGACAAGCAACGAAAGCCGATTTTCTTTCATGCTTCAAAAGGGACTGGAAAGGATTTCTCCTTCAGGTCGGCTCAAGTGTGAAGCGCTGCTTCACAAGGACAGCTTGGTGCAAAAGGCCTCTGCGCTGTTACCAGCGTACAACTCACAGTTTGCAGGCCTACAGTGCTATCAAGCTGAACACTGCGATGAAGAATGCACAAAAGCCTGGGATGGCGGTTGAAGCTGACCCCGTGAGCGAGGATACGACCTTGTCCCACTGGTCCTGCCTGCGCAAAAACAACCATTACTTTCATACTAAAGGTTCACTTCACGAATATCCATGGTTTGCGGAGTATTTGGTAATGAGAAAAAGGGGTTACGCTGTTGTTTACGTGAATGGGGCAGAATCTTCGTCTGCAAATGCAGAGGGCATCGTCTTGCAAATCAGCGCGTAGCCATATTCGGGGCTTTGGTCTGAATCACTCTCCAGCACTGTGCCTCCTGCAGTGGTTTTAGTGCACGTAACAACTCTGCAGTCTGCAGTGGCATCGGATGAGGGGTTGTACAAGGCTACAAAAGAAACGTTGTCTTGATTTTTGTATAGATTTGCGCCTTGAGTCTTTGATGGCGGAAGGCCAGTGAAACTTTTGAAGGCTGCCTTCCAGTGATCAACTGTTTCCTTGCAGTTAGGTTCTGCGGCAGTTAGGGACTTGAAGGCATATGTTCCATCCTTAAAGGGATTCTCTGAATTGGCCGCAGCCACAGCTTCGGTTTGCTCCGTCTGACAGAAGGAAAAGGAAAATATCACAGGACCGAAGCTTGTTAGTGTCGGTGACTACAAAATTTTTTTAGCGCTACTTACTGGAATCAAATGCATGCAAACTTTTTTCCATTCCTCATCTTCGTCTAGGTTGCTTTTTGGAGCAATTAATTTTTTGCCTTCTGGGGCGTCCGTAAAGCTTGGCAACCCAGCTGCTTCACGCGCAGAATTGACCTCGCTGAGGCACTTGGCACTCGTGCCTGCAGAGTATGCATTGAAACAGACTTTTGTTTTGTCTTACATGAGCTTAGGCTATTTCATGGCAAGTATAATGAGCTTGGAGTCGTACGATGAAACTCATTTGCAGCAGCTGACTGCGCGTTTTCGAACGGACACCAGCGCAAGCTTCAACGAGAAATTAGTGGCACAGTGAAGGCACACTACTTACCCAGAGTTGCAGTGTATGTTGGTGCTTGTTGACCTGCTTGTGAGATTTTCAGGGATGAGGCGCTCAGCACAAAGAGCGAAGCACTGAAAAGCAATGATATCCAGTGAGGGAGCATCTTCGAAAATTTGACCTTTAAAGAACACGCTTGGAAAAATTACCTGACTGATTTTATGAAAGGAACCATTCTGTAGGGGAAGGGGCAAAAAAAAGTTGTGCTGGAAGCAAGCAGTGTGAGTGCGGGCGTCACTGCCTCCTTGGAATCGGGCGCGCAGCAGTGGCCGGAAAGAGACGCGCACAACTAAGGGGTGGATCTGCGTTTGCAGAGCGTCACCACTTGAAATTTAGTTAGCATATCTTTTCAAGAAAGTAATTGTTTGATGTGTTTATCCCAGGATGGGTGTAAGAGGCAAAAACACCTTCTGAGCAACCAGTCAACTGAGCACTAGATCTACGTGAACACAGAAGTTTGCACCTCTGTCGATGAGCTAGCCACCAAGACAACTCTACTATTTCTATGCGTCCCTGTTAAGTGCTTTATTTTACAGAGAGTCAAATTCTAGATACTCGGGGGATTTCATGGTGTGGGTTGGCACTGGTAACAGGCTTTTCCCCATCGGTGTTTGCTTATCGGCTCAGCAAGCAAAACGCGCCCTCCTCATATAATCTTGGAATGTCTCACCTTTCCCCAAAACTCCCATGCATGCAAAAGAACTCGATCATTGAGGGGACCAACATGACACAGCCCTTGTGACCTCTCGCCGTTTTGCTTCTAGGGAAGCCGAGGACGGTTTTTTCTTGAATCCACAAGGAGAGTCCTGCCCAACGTCACACATCAGCCTAAAAATTGCTGGGAACGCCGCAGTCATTTTTGCTTGATCCAAAAGAGTTGCAGTATGTTTTGCGGTGTTTCCTTCAACTGCCGCATTTGTTTCAATTGCACGTGTCAACCACTAGCAGCGCCAGCGTCACAACGGCCGGGAGGCCTGGCATCGATATTTGTGGCGAGCAGACCATACATGATATAATTCGATCGAGGCGCGGTCATCGCCACAAGCCTTCCAATATGTACCGGGACCAAAGACAAAATGCCAAGGCAAAGATGGGGCATGGCAGGTGAAACCGGCAACAAGAACCTTGGGTTTATTGACGCTGTGTCCACCCAGGAGCCCCTGATAAAAATCTTAAGCGATTCCATATGTAGTCCATTCCCTCGGCATATCTTCGCATGGCAAGGCTTCCCATGCGCCTGCCTTCTTATTGCCAAATATCAGAAGGTTTATCCAGCTCTTAGTAGTGACATGGTTCAGATGTCTGTTAAAGCTAGCTGAATCCAACTAGAGTTGAAGAAAACGAACAGTTCAAAATTGTTTTTTGACAAGTTTAATGCATGCGACATAGTAAAATCGACTTTCGTTGCTTATCAGAGGCTGGTTGGAAGCTGTTTGTTCTCGCTGCCACCATGACAGCTTCGTGTAAAAGGGGCCTGCGCTGTTGCCACCGTATAACTCATAGTCTGCAGAGCTACAGTGCTATCAAGCTGAACACTGCGATGAAGAATGCACAAATGCCTGGGATGGCTGTTGAAGCTGACCCCGTGAGCGAGGATGCGATCTTGTCCCACTGGTCCTGCCTGTGCAAAAGCAGCCAACACTCGCATACTCACAGTCAACCTCACAGAATGACATAGTTTGTTAACTATTCAGTGGTGATATGAAGGTGTTACGCCGTTGCTTACGTGAATGGGACAGCATTGTCGTCTTTAAAGGCAGAGGGCATCGTCTTGCAAATCAGCGCGTAGCCATATTCGGGGCTTTGCTCTGAATCATTCTGCAGCACTGTGCCTTCTGTAGTGGTTTTAGTGCAGGTGACGACTTGGCAATCTGCAGTGGCATCGGATGAGGGGTTGTACAAGGCTACAAAAGAAACATTGTCTTGATTCTTATATAGATCTGCGCCTTGAGTCTTTGATGGCGGAAGGCCAGTGAAATTTTTGAAGGCTGCCTTCCAGTGATCAACTGTTTCCTTGCAGTTAGGTTCGGCGGCAGTTAGGGACTTGAAGGCGTATGTTCCATCCTGAAAGGGGTTCGCTGCGCTTGCCGCAGCCACGGGGTCTGTTTGCTCCGTCTGAGAGAAGGAACAAGAAAATGTTACAGTGCCGGATGGTGCTAGTGTTGGAGACTCTATAAGTATTTAGAGCTTCTTACGGGAATCAAATGCGTGCAAACTTTTTTCCACTCTGTATCTTGGTCTAGGTCTTCCTTTGGATCAGTTAGCTTTTTATCCTCTGTGGCTTCTGTAAAATTTGGCAACCCGGCTGCCTCACGGGCAGAATTGAGCTCGCTGAGGCACTTGACACTTTTTCCTGCAGCATGTGTATTAAAGCATACGGTCTTCAGGTGATGCTGTCTCTTGGAAAGTATAATGAACTTGGAATCGCACGATGAGATTCAGCTGCAGCGGCTGCACTTCAGCTGCAGCAGCTGCGGCAGCCGAGTGTCCGCGTTTTCAAACAGACACCAGAGCAAGCTTCAACGCGAAATTAGTGGCACAAAGGAGGTATATTACTTACCCAGAGTTGCAGCGTATTTTGGTGTTTGTTGACCTGCTTGTGTGATTTTCAGGGACGAGGCCCTCAGCACCAATAGCAAGATGCTGCAAATGTACAGGGGCAGCATCTTTGAAAATTTGACCTTCAAAGAATACAGTTACAAAAATTACCTGGCAAAGCTTAAAAGTAAAATTATTAGATAAGGAGGGTGCAAAAGAAAAGTGCACTGGCTGCGAACAATGTGAGTGCTGCCGTCAATGTCTCCTTGGCATCGGGCATTGAGCAGTGGGCGGAAGGGAACGTGCACAGCGAACGCTTGGATCTGCACCTGCAAAGCTTCACCACTTGAAATTCAATTAGCATATCTCTTGATGAACGTACGTTTTTAAATTGTTCCACAGACTGAGTGTAAAATGAGACCAAACCGAATACAGCGTCCAAGCATGTGATCGCCTGAGCACTAGATCTACATGAACACGGAAGCTAGCACCTGTGTAAATGTGCTAGCCACTACGTAAACTCTGCTATTTCTATGCCTTTCTCTAGAATAATTTGTTTTAAAGGGAACCGAACCATAGCTTTTTGGGGGATTTCAGTGTACGGGTTGGAACTGAAAAGAGTCTTCCGCCGTCGGTGTTCGGTTGTTAGCACAGGAGACAAGACGGGCCCGCGTCTCGCCTCTGCCAAAAATTTCGACGTAAGCAGAAGAACTGAATCATTATGGGGAGCAAGATAGTGCCTCACTTGTGGACTCACATCGTTTTGCTTTTGAAAAAGGCGTCGACGATTTGATCGGGAGTCTACGTGGAGCCTCCTGCCCAACGCCACACGCAACTGTGAAAACTACTGGGACCGCGGCAGTCAGTTTGTCCCGCGCTCGAAGTCGCGGAGTGTACTTCACGTGGTTTCTTTCAAGTGCCGCTGTGTTTAAACTGCAAAGATCAACAAGGAGCAGCGACGGCGCTATGAGGGCGACGATACTCGGCGGCGACATTTGTGTCGTGCAAGCCAAAAGGGAAATATTTTAAAATGCCTCACTACAATACGCGGATAGAATCAAACTGTAGGAGTAAACGAGGTCGTTGTCGCCTCCTTCTGACGTCACAGGAGTATTTCCCTGGGTCTTGCTAGCGGGTCCTTCATCTAGCCTTCAAAAGCAGGACTACCAGACAAGTCGCGGCTCAGCAATGTTCGCAGCTTAATATTTGTGGTTTTTTCATCAAGAAAGAGCCTAAACGAATTCCGGTTAAATCAAATATGTGGGAGAATTCCCGTTAGCAGGTGGCGCTACGTCACACTGGGGTCTGCTGGCGTAGTATATCTCCGTGCGCAGCTACAATGGAAGCAACTTATTGGCTCGTTTCCTGGTTCATATTCAGAAAACCCAAATGCTTCCCTGGATCTCCACGTGGCACACATTTGTGGTGGAGAAACTATACGCGGTTTTTGGCTTCCACAGCATGAATCGTGACTTTGGGGAAAATCATCTGCCGCCAGTGCTCCCCAAGAGCGTTTCCTGCTGAACCCGGCCCACAGGAGCACAAAGAGGGAAAATAGGCGAAGTAGACGTCATAGAGTAGCATATCTGGCAATATAGTACTTGACTGATGGGCCGAGCAATGCAATGGAAAAACAAAATTGAAGAGATCGAGACGCTGTCTTCACCACAGGGCTTCCAGCGTGTATCGAGATAAACAAGAATAACCCACAGATGGGGCATAGCATGCGAAGGCAGCAAAAAGAAAGCCTTGAGCTAGTTTAAACACACTGCGTCCGCCCAAGCCCCTCCGACAAATCGTTGTGAGCTTCCATATATAGTTTGTTTCCACCCCATATCATCGGCTTGACATGGCTTCCCATACGCCTGCCTCTTTACTGCCGAATATCAGTAGGTTTATCTGATTCTTAGTGAGATGGCGAAAATATCTGTCAAAGCTAGCTGAAACCAACCAGCGTTGAAAGTTTTACAGTTCAAAATTGCCTTTTGACAACTGTAACGCATGCGGCAAGCATTTAATGCATGGTGGCTGCGAGAACAAACAGCTTCCAATCAGCCCCAGGCAAGCGACAGAAGCCGGTATCCTTTTCCCATTTGAAAAACGACTGGAAAGGATTTTACCTTCAAGTCGGCTTAAGTGTGAAGCGCTGCTTCACAGATTCACCTTGAAGCGAGAAGCGCCTGGGCTGTTGCCAGCGTACAACTCATAGTTAGCAGAGCTACAGTGCAATCATGCTAATTGCCACGATCAAGAATGCACCAAAGCATGGAATAGCGATTGAAGCTGACCCCGTGAGCGAGGATGCGATCTTGTCCCACTGATCCTGCCTGTAAACAGCCAACGCTCGCATACTCACAGTCGACCTCACGAAAAGCCATTGTTTGTGAATTATCCATTGGTGAGAAGAAGGGGTTACGCCGCTGCTTACGTGAATGGGGCAGTATTGTCGTCTGCAAAGGCAGAGGGCATTGTCTTGCAAATCAGTGCGTAGCCATATTCGGGGCTTTGCTCTGAATCATTCTGCAGCACTGTGCCTCCTGCAGTGGTTTTAGTGCACGTAACAACCCTGCAGTCTGCAGTGGCATCGGATGAGGGGTTATACAAGGCTACAAAAGAAACGTTGTCCTGATTTTTATATAGATTTGCTCCTTCAGTCTTTGATGGCGGAAGGCCAGTGAAATTTTTGAAGGCTGCCTTCCAGTGATCAACTGTTTCCTCGCAGTTGGGTTCGGCGGCAGTAAGGGGCTTGAAGGCATATGTTCCGTCCTGAAATGGATTCGTTGCGCTTGCGGCAGCCACGGGGTCTTTTTGCTCCGTCTGACAAAAGTAAAAGGAAAACGTTGCAGTGCCGGATACTGTTAGTGTTGATGACTCTAAAAGCACCTAGCGCTTTTTACTGGATTCAAAGACTCCCAAACTCTTTCACTCCTTGTCTTGGTCTAGGCAGTGGTGGTGGCTTTAGAAATATTCTGCTCCTCTTACTGGGACCAGATATTTGCAGACTTTCATCCACTCGCCATCTTCTTGCAGTTGCTCTTCTGGATCACTCAATTTTTTGCCGTCTGGGGCCTCGGTGAAGTTTGTCAACCCGGCTGCTTCACGAGCAGCATTGAGCTCGCTGAGGCACTTAGCAGTTTTTCCTGAAGCATTTGCATGAAAACAAAACTTCGTTTTGTTTTGCACCTGCCGAGGCTGAACTTGGAGTCGTACGATGAAACTCATTTGCAGCAGCTGACTGCGCGTTTTCGAACGGACACCAGCGCAAGCGTCAACGCGAAATTAGTGGCGCAGTAAAGGTATACTGCTTACCCAGAGATGCAGTGTATGTTGGTGCTTGTTGACCTGCTTGTGAGATTTTCAGGGACGAGGCGCTCAGCACAAAGAGCGAGGCGCTGCAAATGTACAGAGACAGCATCTTCGAAAATTTGACCTTCAAAGGATGCGGTTACCAAAATTACCTGGCAAACTTTGAAAATAAAATTATTAGGTAAGGAGGGTGCAAAAGAAAAGCTCGCTCGCCGCGAAGAATGTGAGTGCTGCAGTTAATGCCTCATTTCGTACCGGGCATTGAGCAGCGGGAGGAAGGGATCGTGCACAACTCATGTTTCGAGCTGCGCTTGCAAAGCTTCGCCACTTGAAGTTCCACCAGCATATCTCTTGATTAATTTCTGTTGTAAATTAGTTTCACAGGATGATGATAAAGGGAGACTAAATCGGATACAGCGTCCTGGCATGTGACCACCTGAGCTCTAGATCTACGTGAACACAGAAGCTCACACCTGTGTAAATGTGCTAGCCATAAGGAGAACTCTGCTATTTCTATGTCTTCCTGTAGAATACTTTGTTTGACAGAGAACAGAACCTTAGTTTTTTGGGAGATTTCAAGGTATGGGTTGGCACTGAAAAGAGTCTTTCGCCGTCTGTGTTCGGTTGTCGGCTCAGAAGACTAGGCGGGTTCACTTCTCATAATCCTGCAATATCTCACCTCCGCCCAAAATTTCTACGTAAGCAGAAGAACAGAATCATTAAGGGGGGCAAGATAGTGCTTCCCTTGCGGAATCACGTCTTTTTGTTTTCAAGGAATTCTCCGAGGATTTTTTCGGAAGTCAACATGGAGCCTCCTACTCAACGTCACATGCAATCATGAAAATTGTAGGGGTCACTGCAGTCAGCTTGTCTAGCTCTCCAAGTCGCAGAGTATACTTCATGCTGTTTCCTGCAAGTGCCGCACTGTTTCAAGTGCAAAGTTTAGTCACGAGCAACGACGGCAACGAGACTCCGCGGGGACATTTGTGCCAAGCACACCACAAGGGAAATATTTCAAATGTCCCACCACAATACATGGAGAAAATCAAACTGCAGGGGTAAACGAGCTCGTTGTTGCCTCCTTCTGACGTCACAGGAGTATTTCCCGGGGTCATGCTAGTGGGTCCTTCATCTAGCCTTCCACAGCAGGACTACCAGGCACGTCGCGGCTCAGCAATGCTCGCAGTTTAATACTTGCACTTTTTCCCAGGAAAGAGCTTAAACGAATTCCGGTGGAATTAAGTAGGCAAAAGAATTCCCGTTAGCAGGTGGCGCTCTATCACACTCGTGTCTGCTGGCTTCGTATACCTCCATGCAGACCTACGGTACAGTGCAGTGCAGTCAGTTATTGGCTCGTTTCCTGGTTCATATTCAGTGCAACCAGCTGTTCCCCGGAATCTCCACGTGGCACACAGTTGTGGTGGAGAAACTATACGCGGTTTTTGGCTTCCACAGCATGAATCGTGACTTTGGGGAAAATCACCTGCCGCGAGTGCTCCCCAAGAGCGTTTCCTGCTCGACCCAGCCCACAGGGGCACAAAGAGGGAAAATTGGCGAAGTGGAAGTCATAGAGTAGCATATCTGGCAATATAGTACTTGACTGATGGGCCGAGCAATGCAATGGAAAAACAAAATTGAAGAGATCGAGACGCTGTCTTCACCACAGGGCTTCCAGCGTGGATCGAGATAAACAAGAATAACCCACAGATGGGGCATAGCATGCGAAGGCAGCCAAATGAAAGCCTTGAGCTAGTTTAAACACACTGCGTCCGCCCAAGCCCTTCCGACAAATCGTTGTGAGCTTCCATATATAGTTTGTTTCCACCCCATATCATTGGCTTGACATGGCTTCCCATACGCCTGCCTCTTTACTGCCGAATATCAGTAGGTTTATCTGATTACTAGTGAGATGGGGGAAATATCTGTCAAAGCTAGCTGAAACCAACCAGCGTTGAGAGTTTTACAGTTCAAAATTGTCTTTTGACAACTGTAACGCATGCGGCAAGCATTTAATGCATGGTGGCTGCGAAAACAAACAGCTTCCAATCAGCCCCAGGCAAGCAACAGAAGCCGGTATCCTTTTCCCATTTGAAAAACGACTGGAAAGGATTTTACCTTCAAGT